TATCCTTTCAAAAAGGTGCTCCTCTTCCCTTCTTTAAAAGGTCCTTCCTTCGCGGATAGCCATATCGGTGACGACATACATCTTCTAAATCTCCTCGGCGATTCCTTTGACGCTAAACAATCATTTTTCCGTACGACGGGGTGGAAGAAGACAAAGCCGAAGTTTCTCCCTCTACGCAGACTTCTTCTGACTCTTCTTGGGGCAGTTCCACCGCATATGCCCCGTTTCCCCGCAGCTCCAACATTCCATGGGCCTCTCGCTTCCAGTCACCTCTTCCGTTGGTCTTCCTTCTCCGCCTAGAAACCTTCTTTTACAGGGCTCCCCCTCCGAAAAAGGAAAAGGCTTGAGAGACCGTTCGGGCCTAATGTACGGTGTCGACACCGCCTCGACGGCTTCGATCTCATGAGCTCTCACAACCGCAGCTCGTAATGAGACGAAACCGCCGAGTCGCAACGTCCGCTTCGTCTCCTCATTGGCCAGCGCGGCAATGAATTGAGAGGCCGCGAGCTTGTCTCTAACTTCGATTGGGCAATCGCCAAACGCGGCCTGCGCTAACCTCTCAATTTCCGCCGCCAAATCGGAGATGGACTCCCCTCTCCGTTGTTTGTAATTTTGGAACATCACATAATTTAAGTTAGCGAAATTTCTCATCCCGTAACGGAATTCCAAAGCCGAAATCAACGCGTCATAGCTGGAACGTTTCTCAACGGGGAGAGTCGTCAAAATGCTCCGAGCCGGCCCCTCCAACGATGAGACCAAGGCCAAAGCCTTCCTTGGTTCATCCCAACGATTCGCCTCAGCAACAGTCTCAAACTGAATTTTGTACTCCTCCCAACAAGACTTTCCATCATACATGGAGGGCTTCAGAGTATAGCCCAAATCGGAGACACTCTGATTCACCCTCCCCACACTCTGAGGGGACTGGCTGCGAAACCGAAAGGTCCATGAGCCCGATAGAGGTTACAGGCTCGCGCTCCCTATCGCGGACCGAAGCTCCCGAAAGCCGATCGAGAATACGCGCGACATTCGAAGACAGGACCTAATACTGGCTCTCCACTGCTCCAATCCTCTCCTCGACCGCGGCATCCCTGGCTGAAGCGGCAGCTTTCTCCATCGTCCGCCTCTCCTCAGCCCGCTCGTGTTCCTCCACGAACATCCGCTGCTGCTCTTGGAACTGCGTGGCGATATTCCACTGCAGACCCTCCAGAAGCGACTCCAGCGACTCCAAAGCCTCCGTCCCGGCAGCATAACGAGTCACTATCCCATTTCTGACACTACTATTGCGCCGGGACGGGGTGTTACTTGTACAACTCATAATAACTCGAAACTAATTAACGTAAAACCAGAAACACGAACTAATAAACAAGAAGAAGTTTTATTTAACAGGGCACAATTTGTACCTTCGCTCACTACAAGGTCTCACGTAGTTCTGATCTTTTAAATCGTTGCCGGTTCCTCTGGCAACCGGAAGGTACGGGATCTCGCTTCCGCTCGTTCGAAGGAGCAGCTTCACATCGTTGCGGAACAGCCTTTACGGTACTGCAACGATGCATCTTCAGTCCGTCACAGAGATGCCAGAAAAGCACCGCCGGGTGCACACGCACACATGCCAGATACGCGTACGTGAGCTCGTGGAGTTTCGGAAAGTCGACAAAGGCAAACTAACGCATGCCCTCTTTCTCGATTCTCCGAAGCTGCCCGAAGTAATTTCGGATCGCCTTGTGGGAGTCGAGAGAGAAAGGTTCACATTTGCCTTCTCGCTCTAAACAACTGAAATCCGACCTCCCGTCAACGGCATACGATTTGGATTCTCGAGCCGAGATTCTCGACTGCCCAGGCATTTTTACTTTCCGACCTATGTAGGCGCACATAAGCAAAGTACCCATAATGAAAAAAAAATTTTGTAAAAATCATTTTATGGAAATACACGTTTTAAGACCTCCTGATCATATTTTAATTATTGAAAAAAAAGACATTTTTTTTTATTCCCATGTATGAGCACACATATGTATATTATTAATACGATTGAATATAAATAGCTGAATGAATTTAAATGAAACTTTACATTTAAGTTTTATGTTCTCATTTCAAAGGCGTGTGGACGGATTCAAATACGTGAACACTAAACGTAACGATGTAATTATATTATTTAATATTTACTAACTATTTAACATAAAGAACATAAAAGAAAGACATAAAACGTAAACGTAAAACTGTGATTGCTCTCGACTAACGTTCGATACAGAGTGACGTTCCTGCAGTCAAAGTCAAACAAAACGCACGTTCGAGACGCAGTCTCTAAAACGTATTTCAGCTTAAACCTAAACACCTCACTCGATACCTACTCTAGCTTAGACTAAACACTCCTATCGACGCAAACGATAACGGTTCTCCTAGCCACACACATACACTCCTTACAGATTATACCTCTTGTTTCATAGTTGTTCCGATATATAGACATAATGTATAAAAAATCTTTTAAATGTTTCATATAAATCTTAGGACGAACTAAATTTTATATAAAAAAAATTATATAAACTTTTTCTCTATCTTCTCTAGAAAAGAAAACATTAAATGAAATCTTATACATTACATGCTTACTTAAATCGCATTGAAAACGAATACCACAAATGTTTTAGAATAATGTGCAAAATGTGATTGCGATTTTCGCTAAGACAAATTGAAAACTCGTTTCTAACAAGGAAAAGTTGGAATGGTACCAGGTTTTGGGTTAGGTTTTACTTTGAGATATTATTAAAGTTATTACAGGTACTTATTTTCAGAAATAGAACTATGTTCACCAATAATCAGCGTGGCGTGAGTGATGAGGTCTTTGCCTGCAAGTTCCGAACTTCTTCTGCTCTGCTGGTTCGAACCCTGCTTGAACTTTTTTTTTTTATTTTTTCAATCATATTTTAAGCGTACACTAAATATGACATTATATTTTTGTCTGACCTTCGAATATTTTTTTTTAAAGTTAAATTTAACCGATTACATTTAACATATGTTATTTTCAATGTACGAAGTACATGAATCTGGATGGTACTTTTCACAAAAACAGTCAAAACATAAAAATTTCAAGCACCACGTACATTTACTGAAAGTTTTGTTTTCACAGAAATTACAAAATTTTGTATTTAACTCTGATGGAAAGGCCGCTTCATTTACATTGATAAAATGTGAACGATTTTCGGATAGTCGTACCTTGTAGCTCGTACTTTTTACCTTATACTTCAGGTAAAAAGGGATATAGCTGAGAAAAACAGTTTTATGACATTACCTGCTAACTTATATTACTGTTCTACAATGAAACGCTATGTTTTGTACCTTTAAAAATATTCGACTATGTGCTTTTAAAATTTAAGATACAACCCATACTTTGTATTAAACTGGCAAACGGGATCACTTTTCCTTTGTTTCTAGTTAGTTCTATTTAGTTCGTCATAACCAATTGATACGGTTATTTCAAAACAATCGAGGAAAATCATTATTAATTAATTTCTGCAATTATTAATTCTACTGTTTTGTTTATGTTATAAAAGTAAGAACTCTTCTTATTGAAAAATACCACAGCGTACACAATACTGGTAAAGAGTGGAATCTCATTTTAATTTATTAATTTTCAATCTTAAAGTATTTTGATTTTGAAAAATCGTATTAATAATATATGTACATATGTACGCTCATACATGGGACTAATAAAAAAAATTTCTTTTTTTTCAATAATTAAAATATGATCAGGAGGTCTTAAAACGTGTATTTCCGTAAAATAAATTTCACAAAATTTTTTTTTCATTATGGGTACTTTGCTTACGTGCGCCTACATAGGTCGGAAAGTAAAAATGCCTGGGCAGTCGAGAACCTCGGCTCGAGAATCCAAATCGTATGCCGTTGACGGGAGGTCGGATTTCAGTTGTTTAGAGCGAGAAGGCAAATGTGAGCCTTTCTCTCTCGACTCCCACGAGGCGATCCGAAATTACTTCGGGCAGCTTCGGAGAATCGAGAAAGAGGGCAAGCGTCAGTTTGCTTTAGTCGACTTTCCGAAACTCCACGAGCTCACGTACGCGTATCTGGCATGTGTGCGTGTGCACCCGGCGGTGCTTTTCTGGCATCTCTGGTTGGAATGATACCCGATTTTGGGTTAGGTTTTACTTTGAGATATTATTACAGTTATTACAGGTATTTATCTTTAGAAATAGAACTACATTCATCAGTAATTAGCGTAGTGTGAATGATGAGGTGTTTGCCTGCAAGTTCAAGCTTCTTTTGCTTTGCAGGTTCGAACCCGCTAGAACAAATCTTTTTTTTATTGTTTCAATCATATTTTAATCGTACACTAAATGTGACATTATATTTTTGTCTGACCTTCGAATATTTTTTTTTTAAAGTTGAATTTAACCAATTACATTTAACATATTGTTGTGACGGACCAGTGATGCCAGAAAAGCACCGCCGGGTGCACACGCACACATGCCAGATACGCGTACGTGAGCTCGTGGAGTTTCGGAAAGTCGACAAAGGCAAACTGACGCATGCCCTCTTTCTCGATTCTCCGAAGCTGCCCGAAGTAATTTCGGATCGCCTCGTGGGAGTCGAGAGAGAAAGGCTCACATTTGCCTTCTCGCTCTAAACAACTGAAATCCGACCTCCCGTCAACGGTATACGATTTGGATTCTCGAGCCGAGATTCTCGACTGGCCAGGCATTTTTACTTTCCGACCTATGTAGGCGCACATAAGCAAAGTACCCATAATGAAAAAAAATTTTGTAAAATTTATTTTACGGAAATACACGTTTTAAGACCTCCTGATCATATTTTAATTATTGAAAAAAAAGAAATTTTTTTTATCGAAATAGAAAGAATCGAAAAAGAGGGCTTGCGTCAGTTTGCCTTTGTCGACTTTCCGAAACTCCACGAGCTCACGTACGCGTATCTGGCATGTGTGCGTGTGCACCCGGCGGTGCTTTTCTGGCATCTCTGAGTGTGGCCAGATCTGGCATAATATTACCAAGGTAGATGTACTCTCTGACATTTGATGAATTGTTAACGTATAATAATAAGTAACGATAATTCTGTATCAATACGCAATTTTGTTTTCGTGCATAGTCTTGTATTATATCTACTATAAAAACGAAATGGAGAAAATCGTTGATACAATAAGTAAAAAGATACTTACTGCGAATAAATACAATGATTTCTTTAACGAATACAAATCCCTATCTACAGACGAGGAGCGTATAATATTTACTCTTAAAATTATGTCAAAATATGATATAATTCCTACAGTGTGTGGTGATGTAAAGAATATAAAGGAATCAGAGAAATTAAGAGAACAGGGTAACAAGGTATTTGTTTCTATACCGTTGACAAGTGATTCTTGCCTAGAAGCTTTAAAACTATATACTAAAAGTATAGCGTACGCTCCTTATCCATCCGAGCAGCTTGCTTTAGCATATGCCAACAGATCTGCAGTTTTACTGGTAGTACATAAATATAAGGAGTGCATTCAGGATATAGATAGAGCACTTGCTTTAACATATCCAAATAACTTAAAAGCTAAGCTTTATATAAGAAAAGTTGAGTGTTTGAAGGTTTTACAGCATCCTAACACAGAAAACACTATTAAAGAAGCACAACAGTGGTTGGAAAAAATGTCTTTAAATGATATTAATTGTAAGAAATTAAATGACAAACTTATTTGTATAAAAAAGATGCCAAAATTATGTAATTCAAAGATAGAAAGTGACAAGAAACATAAGAGTGAATCTCCTTTTCCTGAAATAAAGACTCGTAATACAGAAATTCCTTGTGCTTCTGATGCATTAACTTTGAAGTACAATGAACAATATGGTAGGCATGTTGTAGCTAATCGCAAAATAAATCCTGGCGAAGTAATTGCCATAGAAAAGCCATACTCGTTAATCATAAGTCCTGACAATATTCACACACATTGTTCAAATTGCTTAGAGATATCTTGGGCTAATATACCCTGTAACTACTGTACTTATTCTATGTATTGTTCAGAAGAATGTAAGGCTTCAGAGTGGAAAAAATATCATGACTTGGAATGCTCTGTATTTCCTTCTATATGGAAGATGAGTTTTAACAAATTAGATTTATTCAGCGTAAGATTTACCATACAGAATGTGAGAGAAAGCATAAATATACAAGAATTAAAAGATGAAATAAAAGAAATCGACAGCTGCGATGGTAATTAACTTCATTATACAGTAAAGCTTTGTTTACTACCGATTCATTATAACGAATTTTTTGTGCTTTGTACAAAATACATACATTTAACTAACAAACACATAGTCATAACCATGCGTTACGTAAAAAGTACTTTTATGTGTAACCAACACAGTGCATGGTTTCTGATAATACACTTTTTTCTGAAACCAATTTGTTGAGGTATGTACTAATTTGTAATAATATCACAGATACTCTTATAGATACAGCAATGAACAGAACTTTTAACGAACCAGTTCATTTTTACTATTAAATTTGCATGATATTTTTCAATATTAATATTATACAATAATGTTGTTATGGTCTGTGCGAGTAAATAATACAAGCCAACATGGTGTAAACAATGCCTACAAAAAATAACAGTGAAAAATTAAAAATGTAAACAGAAACATTTCTTTGGATATAAAATTACATTAGAAGTATTTAGAGCACTTAAAAGCAGATGAATGCCATATTTATAACATATAAGAGCTTTTTTAAATTAAGCAAGACGTAGTAAGATTAAAATGATTACATTTTATACGAGGAAATAACTATTTTAATTTTCTGCTCTTTCAGATCCACGTACGAAAGGTTTCTCTGAAAATGGAATCTTTGAGAGCAGTAAATATAGAAGTTTATTAAGTCTTGTGACCAATACTGAGAAACGTTCAGTACAGGATTTGTTTAGGAAATCTCTGGATGCTTGTTTTATTTTGTACTTTCTGGCAACTTGTAGTAACATGTTTGGTGGTCCATTGAGAAAAGATTTGTCTGCATTAATAGAAAACCCTGATGTTACGTTCATTGGTAGTCTTATATTAAGACACCAGCAGATAATTCCTAGTAATATGCACAGTGTATGTAATCGCGAAAGAAATCATTTTACAAAAATTCTAATTTTAATTCTTTTATTTTGTTTTAATTGAACTCCATCTTCCTTTCAGCAATAGATTGTTTCAAATACTTAATAGTTATTAGGTGTACAAATAATTATGTTGTTGTGCTCGGCAATAATAGTGTAAAATTTTAGTATGAATAGTTTTCAGAAATGCGTGGATTGGACTCAGCTGAACGCGGTCTTGCGGCTCTGCCATTTTTCAGTTTGATTAATCACAGTTGTGAGCCAAATATACTAAGACACTCGAGGTCTAAGCATGCAATTATGTTTGCTGTGTATCCCATTGAGAAAGGTGAACAGGTATGCAAATGAATATTTAAATCACTTGTTATAGTTATGTTACCTCCATGCTACTGACAAAAATTATGCTCTTTTTAGATATATGATAATTATTCTTACCACTTTGCAATTGATCCAAAAGCTACAAGGCAAAAAGAACTTCTGAGGCAGTATTACTTTAACTGTGATTGTGTTCCGTGTCGCGAAGATTGGCCTTTATTTTACAATGTAAAATTGTTTAGTGTGAGTTATATGACAATTAAAGATGTATACTAAACAATTTCGGCATGCAATTATTTATTTTTACTATGTCTGTTCACAGGATTTGGTCAAGAAAAAAGAAGATGTGGTTAAAATTACTCATGCATTAGGGAAATTAACTAAATATGTCAATATTGCTACTGAAGGAAACATTTTGAATAAGCGTTGCATGATAAATGACTTAGTAAAAATGATCGAAGTTTTATACTATTCGGTGCCAAGGCCCTGCCAGGAAATGTGTAGTGTGGTAGAAACTTTAAAACACGTCTATGACTTGAGTGGAAACTCATTTGAAGTTCCTAAACTTTAAAAGTATTTTGTATAATTCAGTATTGTCCTTTTTACGAAAAATAAATGTATAGTTTTTGATTACTTTATTCTTTTGTAATATTGTTGTTTTCATTTTTTAAACGGATTTCGAAACGACTACATATTACATACATATACATATATAAATACTTGTACATTTTATATACTACGTCTATATGTGCTTTAAGTACGAATTTATGAGGATCCAAAGATTGATGAATAAAAAAACAATTTTAATAGAAATGATAGAAAATGATATAAACGCGATACCTCTGCATCTTTGATTCTAACTTCTAGTTGTTAAAAGACTACAAATTATCAGCATTTAAAATGGTGCTTTTAATATTTGTTAATCTCTAGAATTAAAGTTATGTAATTTGAGGTAGAGAAATAAGTAGGATATGCATAAAAACCTCTCGTATAAATTATAAAGTTTTAAATACTGCTGAATCCTAACTGCTGACACTGTGTACCTTTGTGATTGTCTTTATCTTACACATAACCAACTGATTATTGGTAACAAAATCGTCAATCTGATAGATGTGTATATGTTGCTAGCACTATTATGCTGATTGTAATCACTTTCAATCGTATTTATGTAATTAATTCTCCATTCGACTCCGTTATGTACTGGACTATGCTTCTTAAAATATTCGACTGTTGCATCTGCTACAGTCACTCCTGAAACAAAACGTTACCGATATTTTTATTAAATATTTATAGAAAAAAATTTTGTAACTTACAGTCATATAGTATTACTAACTTAAAAGAATATAAATTACCAATAATTAAAATACTTTTAATGCTGCAATAAAAATTGTTATATTTGCCCTTAGAATCACTATAGACTTTATGTTTTTTAATTGCATTGGAAAATAGTAAATGTCTCAAGAATTGTATAAAACACCTTAACACGGTTGTATGAGTAAAAATACTGTAGGATTTTATATGTGAAGTATTACTGTGGCTATTGTATATACTCCTACACATAAAATATTTTGTACTCTGAGCGAAAGATACAGTCGTGGACAGTAAATAAGTAAAAAAAAATTAATGTAATTTATCGGCGACAATCATCGTAAATTAAGAAAGTATAGTTTCGTCAAATATGTATGTATATATTAATTTTTTTTTAATTTCATCACAACAGCATACAATTATTGGCGGTCAAAATTAAGTGGACACTAAATATTTACAAAAAATATAATTTTTAATACTCGATATCGTAACCTCTTGTATTACCGCGTTTAAACGTTGAGGAACATTTTCTACAAGTTTTGGGTACCCGCCATATTTGAAATTACAGAACTCATAAATATATGTTAGCAATTTATGTTAAATTTTTATTGGAGCAATGACAAGAATATATATTTTAATTGAAAGAGATCACGCATTTTAGTGTAACTCTCAAAATGACGAGTTTCAATAAAATATGTGTCATCAATGCCCGTAAATTTAGTGTTAATTCTGATCAATGTCTAAATGCCACTTAAGCGGATAAATACGTATAAATATTTATAGGTATGTGTTTGTTATAAATGCTTCCGACATTTAAAAAGATATTTCGTGCTAAAAATTTGATATGTATCGCCCTTCCACGAGAAGAAGCCCCAGCGTGTTTACATCCCCACTCTTGCTGCAGTCCGCTGATTGGCTGTCACCGATTTCGTCACCGTTTTCGACCAATATCTGTGAGTCAGTGGACTACAACAAGAGTGGGGATGTAAACACGCTGTGCCTTTTTCTCGTGGGGGAATGGTACATTATCATATCGAAACAGAGGATTTTCGAAAATTAGTATTACGTCCACTGAATTTTGTTCACGATTGTAAGTACACAAAGTCATTTAACAAATAGGTAAATATACCCAAAGGCTGTGTCTTGAGATCCTTCAGCATAGCATATCCATCGCCGCCGCTCTGCATGAAATCAGACATGAGTACATTGTAAGTTTCATTCTTCTTAAGTTCACTGTACGCCGGAATGAGGCAAGATGCACATTGCACTTGCACAGAAACCACCTTCGAATTCTTTGGTTTAGACAAATTATAGGTTACCTGTATGGATGAGCATGCTCTATTAATAATTAAACATTATAGATGAAATAAAAAAAAGTAATTATACTGCAAGGAGGTTCAGTGTACTTTGAGGATCAAAGTAATTTTGTAGCTATTGAATACCTGAAGGCCAGAAAACTGTATGAATGCGCCAAACAGGTTTGAAGTTGTGTTCATCTCCAAATTTTGAACACTCCATTCTAGAACAGACAGCATCTGTTCCCCAGTCATCTGTACCTTCATGATGATATTGTTGAAAGGTAACACGCTAAGAATATCCCCCATGGTAACTTTGTCATCATTTGCCCTGGAGATAGAAGTTCTAATGCTGCCTGAATTTTGTATAGCTACTGCAGCATCTGTCCAGCTGTCCTTGCTTGCATACTCTCCGGCATTATATTCGATCATAGCATCTGTGATGAGATTACCCAAGTTGCATTCCATGCGTCTGCACACTTTGCTATCCCCTTCAAGGAGAACACGTGTTTTTCCAACTACTGTTAAGCTCACGTTGTCGATGGCCCCTCTTAGCTGATTCAATTCCTCCAAAATGTCTGGTGCCTGTTTGATGTTAAAATAATTGTCAACAATGAACGTCATTTAGGTCGGTAATTCTTAACGGGGGATGATGAATTTGTGTAAAATAACGAATAAATATTTTAAAAAATTTTGGGGTAGAGGCCAAAATAAGACGAATATGAGGAATGTCAATTTGTTAATCGAGGCTTCGTTAAAAAGTTATTACCGTTTAAAGTTCCGCCTGTAAATAGGCAACCTGCATACAGCTGGGTGCAGAAGATAGTGGTTCTCACTCAGCATGAGAAACTCTACTTACTGACGTGTCGACAGCCTTACAGTTTTCTGAGTGAGAACCACTCTTACACGTACGCAGCTGTTCGCAGATTGCCGTTCTACAGGCGGAACTTTAAACGTTAATAACTTTTTAATGAAGCATGGCTGAACACCCTGTATAAATGTCATATTAATTTAAGCGTTAGTTTCAAGTATTACATAAGTTAGGTATGCGTATTCTCTTTTTAGTTGAAATAAAAAGTGTAGAGTCGCTGATTTCTTTGACTATTCAACTATTCTACCTGTCTATACAGGTAGCCCTCTTACAATACGGCATCCTATAACACGATAAGAAAATTGCAAAGCCTTTGTACAACACTGTACTTCTACAGCACAGGATAATATGATTTTTGCTTAACATATTTAAAAACTAAATTACCTTAAAATAATGACGCGATTGAATAATGAACTATAGTGGCTTTACGTGAAAAAATATAAACGAATTATAAATTATTAAATTAAGGTTGCGTTAAATTAAAATAATATTTTTTGTCTTTTTTTTTGTTTTGTTATATATACATTTATATTTTTCATAAAAATTAAGTTGCTTATGTAGAATTAAAAAAAAAATATTTGTTTTTAATAAATTTTCGGAACGTAACTCCCCTTTTTGTACTGGTTCTGGCTCTCATATAATCCGGTTTCACACAACACGGCATTTTCTAGGAATAGGAATTCTATCTATCGTGTTATAGGAGGGTTACCTGTACATATTTTTACCAACCAACGAGTGCATAAATACTACATTTTTTAAAAATCTGAATTTTTAGATTTAATGACAATTTTGATAGCCCCTATAATTTCGTCCTTGTTAAACAAATTTGTAGCCTTTAAGAAGACGTAGGATCTTTTCAGTACAAAATGGGGACACTTTAAAAGTTTAAAATTTGCCTATGAAACCGAGCAAGAAATAAAAAAGACAGCTCACCTGTTCGATACTGTTATCAACGAGTACTGGGTTGCCACTGATATGGGTCACTTCACCCTCCGAGTTGAATGTCACCGTGAAATTCCCCAAATATTTGGTGTACGCGTACGCTTGGACAACGTGTACCTCCCTTCCGCTTTTTTGCACCACTTTTGTGGGGTAGAGACCCTCCGGCACCTCAAGATCCGGCTGCTTGCCATTGTAGAGGAACGTGTTCGTGTGCCCACCGATCACGAGATCGATGTCCTCCACTTCTCTAGCGATCTTCTTGTCTACCTCGAAGCCAGAGTGTCCCAGAGCGATCAGAATGTTTACACCCTGTTCCTTAAGAACTTTAGCTTCCCTGCGAATGGACTCCACCTCGTCCAGGAAAATTACGTCTTCCGTACGTGAGATTATTTTACTTTCTGGTGTTAAATAGCCAATCACGCCAATTTTCCGTCCATTTACGGTCAGGACTGTGCTGTTCAGCAGCTTCGTGGCAGCTAGATTCGGTTGTTTACTTAGGTCCAGGTTCGATGTCACTATAGGGAATGTGGCATTCTCGATGAAGGGTATCAGGCCGCTCACGCCGTCGTCAAATTCATGGTTGCCTAAACTCTGCAACAAAGAAGGGACAAATGAATGAAAGTTGGAAGATCCTGGACAAAATTATAGTATAAGCGTGCTACGAGGGTCGTTTAATAAGTCCTTAGAAAATCCAAGACCTGGCGCTCGTAGCTTCGAAAATGGTTTGTTTTTAGTAAGCATTATGGCTCATTAGACAGCTATCAAAGTCTCAGTTATATCCACCACATGGTTTCATTTTTATTGTCGATTGAAGAAAGGAACTTACTTTTGCATCAAGATAATGCACGGGTGCACACCTGTGCAGTTTCGATGGCCAAAATCATGGAATGAAAGTTCGAATTATTACAACATCCACCGTATTCACCGGATTTGGCCCCAAGTGACTTTTTTTTATTTCCAAACTTAAAAAAATGGCTCGGCGGACAACGGTCCATGTCGAACGAAGAGATGACCGCCCAAACAGATGACTATTTTGAGGACCTTACGAAATCTTACTTTTTAGATGGCTTAAAAAATTTGAACTAAAAGGAGATTTTTTTTATTGTTGAAAACTAATACTAAAACTAAAATTGAAAACTAAAATTGTAAAACTAAAATTGTAATGGTAGATTCTAGAGGCCAAAATAGGACAAAAATCAAGAATACCAATTTCTTGATGAAGGCTTCGTTAAAAAGTTATTAACGTAGTTCCGCTCAATTGAATTTTTTTCTCGAAAATGCACAGGATTTCGGGGGTATGTTTATTCATAAAAAATGATTGTAATTGACCCCTGCAACCAAAAATAATTTTTTTAGAACGATTTGAAAATTTTTTTTCAACGAAAAATTTCAGCAGCTACCCGAATTTTTTTCTCGAAAGTGGGTAGGATTTCGGGGGTGTGTGTATTCACCAAAAATGATTGTAATTGATCTCCGCTATCAAAAATAATTTTTTCAGAATGATTTGAAATTTTTTATTTTAATTTCTTAATAACTTTTTAACAAAACCTCAGTCAAGAAATTGGTATTTTTGATTTTTATCTTATTTTGGCCTCTAGAATCTCCCATTAAAATTTTTCCCATGGGTGGCCAAACACCCTGTATATTCATATCGTTACATTAATTGAATTCCACAGAAATTGCTAACAAATAATATTTATGAGTTGTGTAACTTGTTTGTACTGCGTATTATCGATTATTCTTTGATTTAGGGGAGCTTGCTTCGTCTTAGATCTTTCGGTAAGACTATTGTTAATACCTATTGTTAATAGTTAGAAAAGTTTGTTCGTGGTCTCTATTAGCTTACGTTGTATTTAAACTCCTTAGCACACAAATATCAAGCCAAGTATTTGATGAGATAAATGCGTTTCTCTCGAAATGTCACTTTCTTAACTTGCGTAGATAAATCTCAAAAACTCTCGCCCGTACCAAAATTATATTTTTTTATAATGAGTATATCATATACTTTTATTAAAAAGTTGCGGAAAATTGGACAAAATTTTGCAATTTTTAATTTAAGCTTTCGCCATTTTGCCAATTTTCAACATAAATTAATTATTTTACTACGGGCGATAATAGGAAACCTACCGAATAAAAATCTTCTCGATTTTTTTTATATAGTCAACCTTGAGAGCTGCAATCACCTATGCCAGTGTGTAATAAAAACGTGAAAAGTCAATAAAAATTATTGCAAAATTTATTTTGCACTCTCAAAGGATAGTTAAGTAAATTGCGAAAATAAATTATAGCGTTAGATGTAACATTTAGTTAAAGAAAATTAATAAAGATGGTTAAATTTTGCAACGTACACATGAGACTGCCCTCTTAAGAAACGTTTCCCTGATATCACGGTATCCTTCGAAACAGACTTTTTCATCCATCAAAAATAGTAGACTTTAAAACAATAAATTCTGAATGGTCTACGTGTCTATTTCAAACGTTAATTTTGTTTACAATGCGTTCGTAAAGACTGTTCGGGGACTTGAAATCTTTCAACGAGCATCGAACCAACCCAGTTTTACAGGATTTTCCAAAATATAATGAATTAAAAGGATATATCACTAATTGTAAGACTTTCTATTTCGTTGAAAGGGTCTAGCCGAATAAGCATGGTAAAAGTGCCCCCAAACCAAATTGAACGGGGTTAAATACCATACGATAGATGGTTCGAAAAAACCCCTTTTCACAGTGTTTCAACCCGGTATCTCTACTACAGGGGTAATTACGGGGTGAAAATCATTTGTTGGTTTAACCTTAATATCTCCCGTCCTGCTCAATTAAAAATTATAAGACAAATCATGGTTATTCTATGGATTGATGTACATATTCGAGAATTTTTTCAGAATTTTTGGATGCAAATTCGATTTTTAAAAAATTCGAAAATATTTTAACCGGCGACTATTTGTCGAAGGTATCAAGTGATCACGTTTGTTTTTATTCAGTATAAAGCTCTCAAAAGAATTAGTAATCCCTAATTTTTTCCGATTTTCCGAAGGGGTGGAACGTAGTCAAAAATTAAAAAATGATTAAAAAATGGTGAAATAGCTATATATTGTCTTAATTACTTACGTGACAATATAATTTATATTTATAAAAGTATTATATTTATAATATTGTTTGAGTCGCGGATGCTTTACCAAAATGATCAGCGCATCGCGCCGTGGCGGTTCTAATCAACAGGAGTCCGGTACTACACGTATTTGAAACTACACATAGCGACCAGTTAACAAAGTATTTAAACAAAAATATTTTAATTATATCTATTTTAAAAGCTTGTCCGGCATTTTTCCGTATGAAAAATTAGGAAATGTGACTTAATAATTCTTTAACAATTTTTCCAAAACCGCTTTTCCAAACAATCTGAAAGAATTACGTATTAATAGTCATTATGCTACGCTATAGCTGTAAAAATATGAATATGGTCACGTAAGTAATTAAGACAATATAAAGCTATTTCACCATTTTTTAATTTTTGACTACGTTCCACCCCTTCGAAAAATCTGAAAAAATTAAGAACGATTAATTCTTTTGAGAGCTTTATACTGTATAAAAACAAACGTGATCACTTGATAACTTCGACAAAAAGTCGCCGGTTAAAATATTTTCAAATTTTTTAAAAATCGAATTTGCATCCAAAAATTCTGAAAAAATTCTCGAATATGTACATCAATCGATAGAATAACCATGATTTTTTTCATAATTTTTAATTGAGCAGAACGGGAGATATATTTGGGTTAAACCAAAAAATGATTTTCACCCCGTAATTACCCCTGTAGTAGAGATACTGAGATACCACCTATCGTGTGGTATTAACCCCGTTCAATTTGGTTTGGGGGCACTTTTACCATGCTTATTCGGCTAAACCCTTTGCCACAAATAAATAATCACAAACATGTTATAGAACTATTAAAAAGTTTAGCTTCCATCGAAATTGCAATATCCGGAAGGTAGGTGAAACTTTATGGCTTCGTTTAATTCTCTTGCCTAAATTATTCCCTCAATTATGTTCCAGAATAATTCGCAAGGACAATACGTCATTTTCTTATGGTGTTACATGATCCCCTTTCCAATTACATAGTTGAATAAATTTCGATTAGTGCCGCAGGCAATCCAGATCTAATCATTATTCTCAATGACTTGCAATATTCTATAATAAATTCTGTCTTTAGAGAAGGCATTTTTGTTTCTATAACCCGAATGTTTAAAAATGGAAGAATCGATCAATGAAGAGTCCTAAGTAGATTTACAACCGAGGAAGATGAAATTCTACAAGCAGAAATGAGTCGAACACGATGAATAAATTTTGTCGAAGAAGCTTTCGTTTTCAAAAAAACTCGGTTTTTAATATATTTTGGCTATAATGCACCTTTTACTAAAATTTGATTCAATATAATGCACTTCTCCGTAGTTGCTCATCACGTTTTTATGCAAGGTTTGTAAGAGTAATTATAATTATAATCAGAAATCCCGTTTCTTTTTATAATTTGGGTTCTTGTCTCGAGCAATTTTCGAGATCAATTTACTCGAAATCGAAGGCTCGTAGGAAAAAATTTTAGTGCACGTTTTCAATTTGATTTTACGCGTAAAATCACTCATTTCGCGGTTGTAGTTAGAGCTTATAGAATTTCGGTAGCGTAAATGATGCAAATTAAAATGAAATTTTGAAAAAGTTTAGCTTGTCAACGCACTGTAGCATCCGGAGCCAATAGGTTCAGGAACTTGGCAACCACTTTCCATTTGTACACATTGTACCACATGGAGCCTTGATAAGTGTCTCCAGCGATCATGAAGAGACATGGAATAGGCGATTGCCTCGCCTGTCGAACAAGGGTTGTTATTCTGGCGAATCCTCCGTAACATTTTCCAGCTTCTGCGTCTTGTTTGGAACAGATACTGGACAGTTGTGACGTCTGCTCGAACCTACGGACATAGAGAATTTTTTTGCAATAATCGAAATGTGTGTAGTAATTTCTCGATATAACATCACCAGTCACCCTCGATATAACAACACAAGCGGTTCCGACTAAAAAAAGGTCAGAAAATTCTGAATGGTTGTTCAGTTTTATGAAGTCTCCTCGAAAACTAAGTTAACGTTCTTTTCGAGAATTTTTGTCTTATTTTTTCAACGTTTACCAACCTTATAGGTATTTTTAGTTAATTGCAAAAACAACCTTAGCAATTAGACGGTTTTAGTGATTCGTGAGAAAAAACTATGTAGATCTTCATATTATAAAATGAAAAGTAAGCTGACAGTCAATAACTATTAATTATTAATTCTTTTTAAATATGAAAATATAGAAGTTTAAAGATTATACAGGGTGTTCGGCCACCCCTGGGAAAAATTTTAATGAGGGATTCTAGAGGTCAAAATAAGACGAAAATCAAGAATACCAATTTGTTGATGGAGGCTTCGTTAAAAAGTTATTAACGTTTAAAGTTCCGCCCGTACTGAATTTTTTTTTCGAAAATGCGCAGGATTTCGGGGGTATGTCTATTCACTAAAAATGATTGTGATTGACCCCCGCAATCGACAATAATTTTTCCAGAACGATTTAAAATTTTTTTTTTCCGTCGAAAAATGTCACACTTTCTCGAATTTTTTTCTAGAAAGTGCGTAGGATTTCGGGGGTATGTGTAATGACCAAAAATGATTGTAATTGACCCCCGCAATCGAAAATAATTTTTCCATAACGATTTGAAATTTTTGAATTTAATTGTTAATAACTTTTTAACGAAGCCTCCATCAACAAATTGGTATTCTTGGTTTCCGTCTTATTTTGGCGTCTAGAATTATAGTCCAGATAATACTAATTACTTTCTATTATAACATCAGTGTGGAAACTCTTAGGGAGATTTTACAACAAAGAAAGGAGAAATTGTTTTTATTAATTCAAGAAATGCAAATTCAAAAATGAATTTACTTTAATAAATTAGTGTTATATTAATAAAGAAAATGGTCACGGACGTTCATCATTTGCAAAACAATTTGACTATTGTTTAATAAATGTTTGGATCCAGGTATCATTTACTGATGAATTCAAATTTAAACTTCTATCACAACGGCGACAAGAATTGATCTGGAGGTCCGGGGTTAAGCATGGTGGTGAGTCCATCATGGGGTTGGTAATTTGCATTTTATTGATGGCAAATTGTCAGGTCAAGAATATATAAACATTTTACAAAAAAATTTGCAATCGTCTATACAAAAACTTAGACTTGAAAGATCATTTATACTACAACAAGACAACGATTCTAAGCACACGTTTAAAATTATTCCCAGAGTTGGCCGAACACCCTGTATATGTATGTAGAATCAATGATGGCATTCGTAATTACAAGTAATTTTATTACTTCCAATTAAGGTTTACTCATACTTCAGACTGATTAGACTGGGAATAAGTAATAATTTCAAATTTCATTACATAGTTTTTGCACATATAAGAAAATGATGCTAGAAATATAAGAAAATTTAAAAAAAAAATTATGAATGGAATATAGTGGCTTTATTTTTTCTATCAAGAATTGTTGATTGTTGGAGAATAAAATTTTACGTTTCAATAAAGTTACGCTATTTTCAGGGGCACTTGTAACGGTAGAATGAATTTTTTTTCCTCAAGGTTATCGGTTATGTATTCAGAGATAAAAAGTAATTTTCATTTTAATAACAACGACTTGGGGCCGGCTAATCAGTTTTGTCACAGTAATTATAATCTCGAAACAGTTATTATCAGGGGTCGTTTACAAATTATGTTATTAATTTCGCTTGATTTTGAGTCCCATCCCGTTTATTACGTTCGAAAATAACTGTTTGAAAAAGTTATTGTTAAAAATTCCAACCCCGTTCCCGGAAGCAAAATATGAATATGAACATAGTAAATATAATTTCCGTTTCTCGAATAAAAGGAAAAAAATCAATTTTTTAAACGTTTAATACGTTCATTTGTGTCAGTAATTTAAATCCTATAAAACTTTTCCATTAATTTGAGCATAATTGATACAAGTTACGATGCTGTTAATTTTAGCAACCGACGATTTTTAAATTTCGATTTCTGATTTAGCGACTCAGATGCTACTCTCTAATTAACGAAAAAATAATTCGTATATCTTTTATGTTTCAACCCTATGTGGGCGTCCTTTTAACTTTTAACTGACATTATGTATGTATAAATTATGACTATTTTAGTATGCAGCATTTGAATAATCCAAAATGTAGTATCAAAAAATAAAAATCTTTATTTTGTGCAACTGGTTACGCAAAATAATGAAACACAATATTAATTATAAATAACACAAGTGTTGTTGCTAAGGTGACAACATTACCCACTATTCCAATTAAAGGTTAAAAAATATACATAGTGTTTTATATAACTGGAAGAAACTGTATTTGTAAAATGATTAGAGATGTACAAAAATGTCGTTAAAATATACATTTTGGATATAATTTTATTCACTTTCATACATTGGTGGATTTATAAAATGCAATCTTCCTGAAAGATGGCCTCTAAATATTGTTTACTGTTATAAAATAATTTTTCATAGCAAAGTACAAATTGGTTCGTGGATTAAAATGGATTTGACATGCGGAGTTATGAAATCTAAAAAAATATACTCATTTTACATTACATTTAATAAATGTATTTGAGCATGCACTCGTATAGTAAATAATTAATGCATTTAAATAAGTAAAATATTAATAAATAAATTACGAACAAATTTAAAATAGTACAAACAAAGGTTTAAAATTAGGTTCCTTCCAAATAAACCTTTATTGTATGCTGGAACACTGAAAATATTTTTGATTGATAAATCACCTCAGTGACACGTTCTGGAATAATTTTGTACAGCGTAGAAGCAATAAAGCAGTAAATTGGTTTCTAATCCTAGTGCTCATTAATCACGAGATAAGCGGTACATTAAATATCCACAGGAAAGCCATAACGCGCAAATCGAATTACAAGATACGCGAAGACTACAAAAAAAAGAAAGAAATATCGAGCAGATAGGTAAAGTTGCCAGTTAATGAAATCAGGAAGTTTATTTGAATATGCAAAAATATTTCTTGATACGAGAATAAATGATCGCGATTGATACGAAATAATTTTAACTGCTCCGTTGCGTGTTAATTACCATCAGGCGGACTGCAATTAGTGCTTGACGTGCGGCAGAAACTGTTCAACTGATTCAATATTGAACTTAATACGCGTTACAATTCTGTCTCGACAATATAGCAGCCATTTGTTTTTTTATACTTAACAAAGATAAACGATATACTTTTTATAATTCCAGTTATTTCGTCGTAAGAAAAAGGACTGACAAAGAAGGGAATAAAATAGAAAATTATTCAATTTTTTATTAAAATATTTCTTTATCAAGAATTTCGAATCTCGCACAGAACATTTATTCTTTTCTTACAATAAATAATGTCGTACAATAAGCAATCGTATACTTTTCTGTTATCTTTGAACTTATCTATTTATATGTATATTCTGAAATGTGGGACTTGTGTGTACCAGTGTTGGACATCAATCAATTTATCGATTAAGTGCAATTGAGAAGATAAATTTTAATTGCAATTGACAACTGATCAATTGCCTCGAAATTGTAATTAACAGTTTCAGAGTTAAACTGGTAAGATTAACGATTTTTTAAAGATTCACAACTTGTTCATACTTTTATTAATTAACTGAGAAGAGTAAGTCGATCTATAAATAACCGAACAACATTTTTATGATTCTGTAACAAACTGCATTTTATAAGTATTGTACTAGCATAATAATAAACAACGTGCATTAATGAACTTCTGAAATTTATAACGAATGTCTGGAAAAGTTGCGAAAATAACTGCACGAATAAACTGTACAAGTTTAAAAAATCATACATTTTACGAGTCTAAGTTGTAGAAACTTGACACATCGTGCATATTACAACAAATATAAAAAAATGTTGTCAGAATGTAGAATTTGATCGACGTTGGAAGCTTATTGTAAATGCTCGAAATAATTTTAGAAATTTGTAAATTCATGCACTTGCAAGATGTTTGGAAACCCATAATTGGAATTACAAAACAGGTGTTAGATCGTCAATTGTACCTGATAATTGATCAATTTTAAACGTTGTAAACAGTTAATTTTCGCGATTATAGAATTTATGTCAGTTATAATTGATGATTGGTCGACAATTGTTATTTGCAAATAACAATTGGTAATCAAATTGTCACTTGTCACTTGTCAATCGCAATTACATTTTGTCTAACACTGGTATACACACGAGTTATTTTTTAATTAAATGTAATAATTTGAAGTTGAAAATTGTCGTAGCTAGAGTCAAACTTATAAAAAATAACTGTCTTATTCTTTCTTTGTCTTTGTTTTGTTTTTAAAGAAAAAACAATTACCTTGAGTGCATATCGTTCGTGTGAACAATTCTGAGAGTGAGTCCATCGTCTTGGCTTGGAATAGGATTTCCAAGGACTTCATCCGAGACTATCACGAGCGTGCACCAAACTGTGATCCAAATTCCCAGCATTTTCTGTTCGCCGCGTAAATCTACAGGTTCGATCACACTTCCGCGTAACGCAAGCCGTTTCGTTATCTCGTCTTTTTAAATAGTTTTAAAAGATAACCACGTAACACGCTGCCTTTGTATTTTGTAGCTATCAGCAAAGAAAGAAATGGAATTGTTCGTCAATTACTGTCGGCTTTGTTCAATTTATTGCATTACATTTCGATTTTTTTATCACATTTTCATTTTAATTAAGATGGCTAAAGTCGCAAGAAATTGATAAAAAGTGGGTCGCAAAAAAATAATAACATTCTTATGTTAAATATCACTTTGAAGGACAGTCTTATTTTTAGAACAGAAATGTTCATTTTATCTCGTGAAGTGTTCTAATTTTCCAGAGTTTTTAGTTATCTAAACTTTGTTTTTCAAATTTCATAACTGTTTAGAGTTCCTAATGTTCTGAATTTCCCAGTTTTATAAATATTTCGAGGTTTTCAAGTCGCTGTTTTCCAAACTCGATATTTTCAATTTTCTGCATCGTTAATTTTATTTGAGTTTTTTTTCGTAAGAATATATTATTGTTTGTTTCCTACCTAAAGAAAAATCCATCAGATATTTTTTTACTTTTTTTACTTTTTGTGGGAAGAAAAATGTCATGAAATATTGTAAAACGCTAAATCTGTGATGTCTGAAGCTACAATTTCTACGTCGAAAATCACGAGTTTCGTGTTTCAGGCGTACAGCGACTGCTACTAAATAATAGAAACAGGTGGCAAATGAATAAAATAGCGATGATATGCAACGTGAAAATTACAAAATGGAATTCGCTAGAAAAAAGGAAGAATGATTTACAATTTCGACATCAAAGCGAAACGCGAAGGAGCAACCGAAAGATCGTCATCCATGACATCGATTAACAGAATTTCTTGCGAAACGTTATGGACGCTGCCAGAGCGAGCCTCTCCAACGATCTTCAATGTTATTTCTAGCCAATAATAACCAGTAAGGTTTTCGTATTGATATAATAAAAATAAATAAAGTTCAATCATGTCCAAGTAGCGACAAATTACCCTTGATGAAACCGAATGAGGTCTTTGCTATCGATGGTAACCTTAGCATTGGCGACGCTGCCAATAGAAATTCCTCAATGTTTTACAAAGTACACGCATATAAACACGCACTTTTTGTTTTCACGCGTTTCGTGGTGCAACGGTTGCTTATAATCGCAAGCCAGCTGGAATTTTTCAGATAAGAAGTTTCTTGCGTGAGAATCAATTAAATATCTCGACTAGTGTTTAAGAAATATTCTTGAGAACGTGGATCGCTTTTGACAATCAACGAAGCGTCGTTGTGTAAACTGAGGATTCGTTCATCCTAAGAAAAGACGAATTCGTTCGCACGTTATAATTTTTAAATTGCGTCGATTTCTTCTCTAATGTCAAAGGAATTTTGAGGATGTGAAAAACATTCAGGTTGCAATTATCTTTCCTAGCTGTGACTTTAATGGTTACAAGGAATTCTTTTCCTGTCATTTTGAAACTATTCGAATTTTCGTATCGTTTCAACTAGAGATGATCGAATAATCTGCTTTGGGCCAGTGTGTTTCCTATATTGTGGATGTTTATTTGATCTTTGATTCTCTTGAAAATGCGCCAAAAAATTGAAGGAGATGTTCACCACGAGGAAATAAATATTGTGATGAGCATAAAATTTTTGTCAAGGTTATCGACATTGTTTAAAACAGGATTACGTATTGTTATTACTGCGTTGTCGTAACATACTTCGTATATATAATTCCGAAAAACGTTATCAGATTAAATGTTCCTTCCGTAACAAATAATTTCTTCCATTTATTTTTGTTCGTATTTTCAAAATGAAAAATAAATATTGTGGGTAATCAGGTTAACAAGGATTATATGAATTCAAATTTGATTGACCAAGGCCGACGTTCAACTTACGGTATAACGATTTTAACGCAACCTTGTTAAAATGCCTACTCGTTGCAAATTAATAATACACGTTTGCTTTAATCGAGACTTGTTGTATTGCGTGTCGCATTAATCTGCCAACAATTGCGCTCGAATATGGCACAGTTACGTTCGTTTCACTTAAATAGTGTGCAATAATCGTAAGAAATAATTGCTACGATTGACAATCATAACACAATATTACTTCGAGTGAAAAATATCTTTTACAGCATATATTTAATAAATTAACGAGTCTTTAAATTACCAAGGTGAAGGAGAAATAAATTTGTGGAAAATAAAAAAAAATTTTAACTTTAGGTGCAGTAATATTTGCATTCTTAACAGAATGTTATGTACACGTGCTATGTTATCTTTGCTAATTTAAGTGTTTTTATTTGTTGTATAAGCATTTCCTGACTTTGGCTTTGGTGTTCGTTAGTAAAACAAAAATTTATCGCGGCAGTGACTGCTAAATTTTAATTGAAATTTTAATTAATTGCTACTATTATCGAACTCGGTCCTCTTGTAATTTAGTGATTTTTATATACATTAGAATCCGAACGATTTAATAATTTTTTATTCGTCCACATTTAATTAATTTCTAGATTTCGATAACATATTTGTATTGTGTTATTATTTACATAGGTTTCAGATTTTAAGAAAAATGTAATTATTGGCGTTTTTGTCATTATGAGATCAGTGAGTAGAAGATATTTGTCAAAAAATGTAAAACAAGGAATTTAGATTTTTATTGTTGTTTGAAGACTGCATTTTTTAAATGATTAGAGATAACACAAAATGTCGTTAGCATTCATATTTTTAATGTAATTTTATACATTTTTATGCATTGGTGGATTTAGAAAATGCAATCTTCCTGAAAGATGGCCTCTAAATATTGTTTACTTTTACAAAATAATTTAATTCAAGTAAAACGAGGGATTCAGATTTTTATTGTAGTTCCAAGTTAGAGAAACTAATAATGTGATTTCTTCGGAATTTATGCTGACTCTTGTCGAAATAAAAAATTTATTACAAAATTTATTAGTAATTTATAGCATGACTACTTAAAATTTTGTCTTTTAAGTAATAAACAAAATGTTTCTTCAAATACCTGTTAAATTGACAGATGTGGTAGAATTAGGTATGCATTTAAAGATTGGAATTTAATTTAACAACAAATTTAGTAATATAATAAGATACTTATCAATTACTTACAAAAGATAATACTTAATCGAATATAGCAGATGCAGTACAATAGTTACTCATCAAAAGAAGTTCCCCATCGCAGACCGAAATATGTTAAAAAGAAATAGTATATCATAATAAATCAATGCAAGAATGAAACTCGAATCAACGGTTGTAAAAATTGATGAACCGAAGGACATAGTATTCGATTGACGTCACGATTAAGAAACTTAAGTGGCCATACAATTCACCAGTCGTTATTTTACTTGCCAAATGATGTAGCTCCACATCTTTACAAAAAAGAAGTAATATCGTTTTGTATAAATTCAATTGTAACATTTGTAACATGCAAATCAAACTGTGATAAATTTGTTTAATTAAATGTCGTACGTAGTATCTGACTAACATCAGAGTTGAGTTTTTATTTCCGTATAACAAATATAAATTTTAGATTCATTCATAAAGTATTATAGTTTTTGTTTGCAGTTACGTTCACCTTAATGTTGGTTTCAAAAGACGCGCTAACGGATTCTAATTTACGAATGAATCGAATATTTTGTATTCGTTGATCGAAAATAAAATTTGCTCAACTGTGACTGTTAGGGAATAATCTTCCTGTAAGTTGGCAATGATGTGGAAGTACAATGTATGTATGGTGAAGTGTGTGGTAGGGAGGAGCTGAAAGATGCGTAAAAAATAGATAGGAACGTGGAAGTAAAAAGTGTTAAAGAGAGTACTAGAAGAATTCAAAAGAAAGGAGAATGTTATACTAGAAGAATTCAAAAGAAAGGAGAATGTTACTTAAAATTGTTTTTTGTCTTAATCAAGTTTATTGAATTTAAATAAAGTATTATTTATGTTAAAAGATAATTCCGGGATCTGAAATTATTTGAACCATGTGCTAACGCAACAGTGACCGACGATAGTTATAATGAAACTTCGAGTAATATTCTACGTCATCTGTTTTCAACCTTTACTCGTACAAAAACGTAGTTCCATACCAAATGTACACACGTTAATTTTAACATAAAAGACGTGACAATGATTTACAACTCAACGATAAAATACAAATTAATGACTGATAAAGAATATATTACCTGTCGAAAACTTCTACGTGGAATTCTAAATAGTATTATAAATTATTTCTTTTTAACCTTTACATGTCAAAGCTCGTAGCCCCAAAACAAACCTGCCCAACGTAAATGGTAACCAAAAACTTGTGAGGGCGCCACGTAACCTAAAACAATGATTTACGATAATGAATTAATTCGTAGGAATTTTGTATTGTGATTGCTTTTCAAGACTAAAAGAGATAAATAAACTGAACATGATGATTTCAAAACATACGTGACACATTAAAAAATTATATGTACGATCTGGTACAGAATTACTTTGGAGCAGAAATAAGTTGCATCTCTTATAATGTATTTAGAAATTAAAGATAAGAACGCGAGATAAAGACTGATAAAAGATAAAGAACCTCATCGATGCTGCTACAAACGATCTTCGGTGTGATATTATAAATTATTTATACTCAATTTTTTCTTGTAAACAGACGCTCAATTATATTTCCAATTAACTGAGAAATAAATCATCGACTGATTTCTCAATCCAGAAGACGATGTACTCGATCGATGCTTGTATAGAGAATTCTACGTAGCACTCAAAGTTATCTGTCTTCAATCTTTGCTCGTCAAATAACGTAATTCTATGTTGAAGAGTGAATTGTTTGATTCAATAAAAAGACGTGGTAATAAAAAAAAGATAAAGTATCCAATCAATATCTCTGTAAAAGGTCTTTTATAAGGCTAACGAAGGATCATACCGAAGCGTCAGTCACTGATTTCGGTGAAATGTTGCACAATTCCACGGTAAAAATATTCGTATTTTTTTTATCGATCAAATAGCAACAACGGAGCTTTCAAATTTTGTTGAAAGTATTAGGTTGATGCGTATGAAATGTTGGATTTTTTGTATTCTCATGTATTGAAACTTTGCACCGAGAGAATGAATACGACAATCGTGAGAAAACATTTCAATGGCTAAACAAACACGAATAAATCGGAAATACGGAGTCTAGTCCTTAGTTAAACTAGCAGAGATCTATTCTATTGAACGATAACGCGAGACCTCATACATTGCAAATAACAGTTTTGCAATTTAATGATTCAAACTACGAGATTCTATAGAATTTACAATATTCACCAGACTTGGCATAGATTACTATTTCTTTAAACTTCGAGGCATTTTCTTAAAGGTGAACAATGTTCTGAACACAGAAAAAGATCAAAAGGACTGTCAAGGCCTTCGATAAGTTTAAAAATTCAAATTTGAGAAGGAAATAGTATTTTTTAGGAATGAGTTCGAGTTCTTGCAAACCCCTAGTATTTTTGTCCTAATTAAACATTTACAAAATTATTTTGTTTAGTATTTTGTTTCCTTAAATGGTTTCAATTTTTTGTAAAATCCGACATTTATAATGCAGTAAAATATTGAAAAAACAAATGGTTCCAGATTATAAAATTCCAAGAAAAATCGCAGAATTTAAAAAATTTGTTCATTACTCGATATTTCAAACGCGTTTTTCTCAAAACCGAAATGAGATTTTCACGATTTAATAAAATCCAATGAACGTGTCGATTTGAAAATGCAGTAATTAAACAAATTTTTTGGATTTTAAATTCTTTCTAATTCGATCTATAACCACGTTCATGTAGTTAATTTCATAGCAAATCTGGAAGTGTCGAAATCATAACAACGAGGGTACTTGAAATTATTATGTATTTTCCTATGGAAAAATTCATGTAAACAATATTGCAAAGCGCCAAACTGATATCTTAAACAGCTTGTCTTCTATAAAATCCAAAAAATGTTTCTCCACGTTCACGTTAGAAGCTCCCCTTAACGCGTTTACTGCTATATTGGTCACTGGTTACCGATGTTTTAAATAACAACGCGCCCTTGAAACACTTAGAGAAACGTACCTTAATAATTATAATCTTCTAAATAACATCACTGTCGTTAGGAATACTGTAAAATAACAAGAACGCCACTGAGGTATCGAATATTTTTATCTGTCCAAAGACGTGTAACATTAGACTTGCAAGTGTTTTCTTTGGAATATAATAATATTGCACGGCTAGTGAAATGTCAAAATGAAAACAATTTTCAAATTTTAGTCCGTTATGGATGCTATTATACATGTATGAATCTATATTATATAAATATAAATAGTGGATTTCGTTAAGTTTTTAATAATAGTTGTTTGAAAAGTAACTGGAGTCTTTGTTATAAATCCAAATTACTTTTAAATGTATATAATTCTCGTGAAATGTAAGACGCTCAATTAAATATTGAGTTAAGACTGGGAGGTCCGTGACAACAAAAAATTATTTAAAGTCTATGGTAGTTAACAGGTTAAAAACCACTGCTATAGATAATAATATGTAAAACGATTTCGTAGCAACATCAAATAATATACAGCGGACTGCGGATCATAGTGGTGCAAGTTCAAATTTAAAAAATACGTCTTAACGATATTTTTCCAAATCTTACAGAGAATTAAAATATAACTTTATTCTTTACCGAAAAATGACAATATATTTCTTTGTTATTAAACAAAGAGAAAAAACTGTTTAGAGTCAGCAGTATAAGTCCATCTTACACCGTTTTGTACTGAATTGGTTACAAGTAAAATGGCTTCGTTACCAAAAAGATAAATCATATACAATCCAGTAGAAGCATAGTCTGGATGAGAACATTGCGTTCAGTGAGACGAATATTGAATGCAGTAAGGAGGGTCGGCCAAAACGTTTAGACAAAATAATCTAAAAGAAAAGGATATGCTGCGCCCACTAAAATATATCCCACTGATCCAGCATCCCTTCTTCAACACTATTAAGAGCTAAAAAGAAGTACGAGACAATGGTCAACTTTCTGATAACGAAATGGTAGACTGTATGCACATAAAACTGAATATTTCTGCTGTGATGATACATAAAATATTTAACATTGAGACTATTTTCTATGTTTTTCAATACTAACATATTTGAGATACAATTATGGAAAAAAAAATTCATAAAAAAATCTTCGTTTCTTAAAAACATCACTCTTATTTTGACTAACCAAAATGTTCAGGAATATAGTGGTGTAAGTTAATCTTAATTGATTAATACGCTTCTCGATCGTATAAAATCCTCTTTTGTATTTCAGTTTCACAAACGGTTTCTTAACTTTCGTTTTAATCTCATGAAAAATGTAGAAATATGATTGAGTTTATAATTATTCACAGCACTCTGTCTACCTACATTTTAATATCTTTCCTGTCATGTAGCTTCTTCAAATATTTTAACGACAAACGCCTAGCCGTCAAGCGAAATTTGTAAAATTTCCACACGGCTTGTTAGAATATTTACTTCTGTAATGTCATCAAATTTATTTGACGCAAGTTGTATTCAGATTTATTTTCCGTGACATGTAAGCTTGGGAATTAATTTGTTTAGTTCCTCGATAAAAATTCATGTCAACCATATCCACGTAGGTGGCTGCCAACGTGTTAATCCAGATTTCACTCGTTTGCACTATAAATTAACTCTTTTGCAGTTCATATTTTTTTTCCATTGATCTACAAATTTGTTTTTCTAGGCTAATTAAAATAAAATATAATGTAAAGTTATTAGTCTAAAATAAAATACTTGTTCAACGTAGACGAGCGACTTTCAGCCGCATAATTATACATCTGTTTTCGTTATTTTCAAATGGAAAAACAAGGGAAGATATTCACGATCGAAGATAAAAAAAATCGCTGTATTAACATATTATTCATTTTTTAGTGCTAGCTCGCATGACCGCCCAATAATCACGAATAAAATCAGAAAAAAGGATAAAATAACAATGTATTGCTTCACATTTGTGTCATTAACGAAGTGAATTTGATCTGTGAAAGGGCAAATATGATCTGCAAAGGGGTTAATTCATGGTGAAGGATTTGTACACGTTACACGTGTGTTTTAATGTACGTTTGCGAGCGGGACCTCTACTCTATAGCACAAAGACTATACCTGCAGCGCGTGAACGTCCGTCAACATCTCAGAACGGTCATTGGAAGTGCGAGGATCGCGTCGCGGGATGTACGAATCAAAAAGCGTGGTTACGAGCGCTCTAAAAATATGTCACTGTCCGTCAAAAAGAGAGGAGTCCCGGGATGTGGTCTCGATGCCAATCAGGTTCGTTAATGCGCAACGATCGCTCGAGCGAACGTACGAAACGAAACGAGCCGATTTTCACGAACGACCAGCGACGACTGAACGCGATCTCCGCTCGAAAAGCTCGGCTAGCCACCGCTTGGCCCCGATCTCGCGCTCGATTCGCCGCTCGAAACCGCTTGGCTTTTGTCGAATCGGTCCCACCGCTGTTCAGATTCGAGCTTATCGCGCAACAGACACCAGCTACATTTTATTTCTCACGAATAAGAACACGGTATGTAATTGAAAAAAATGTATCGAGTCGACAAATTATTTAAATAAAAATATTTTCTAGACGAGCGTTTCAATTTTTAGCTAATTTTCGATTTCTACTCGCTCCGTTTTCCTCATATCGTTAGGTTTATACAATTTTGTTCGATCCTTTAGGGACGGCCATTTTGGAGCACGATCGTTAGGAAAACGTGTACCTCACAATTACGTGGTCAACGTGAAAGTTTTATTTTAATTTAATAAATTGTTACATACGTATTTTAGATATTAATTTTTATAGGTTCATGAAGACGGTTTTGTAAAGAATTTTTTGATGTACATTTTTAACGATAAAAGTATTTTGTCTACAAAGTGTTAATTTTGTCAAGTTTGCATGTATTAGACCGTCCCATAAGTTCGAATTTTAATGTTTACAATAAAGACATTGACAAAAAAGATTTTTTATTCAAATGTTATTCAATACTGTTTTTAATTTACATTGATACTTTCTAATTTGTTACACACTAAAAAGTATTACAATATACAAAGTAAGCGATAATAATGATAGGAAATTATTTGTAGAATAATGTAGGCGTGATAAAATTTTCCAACGAAATACACATAATTTTTTATCGCTTAGATGTAATAGTTTCATTATTTAGTCCCAATTAAAAATACAAAATGCCTTGATTAAATCTGGCTTGAGATATTATTGCGATGGTTCTTATTTAACAATCTAACAACGTTTTTATCGAAGATTTTAAAAGTAACAAATATTGTCTGACCCAACAAATTTCGTTTTCAGCCTCGTCAGCTCAAGAAATGGTACGTACTTACGGGATGAAATAATAAAACAAAAAAGTTTTTAAATTCAATTTTTAACAAATAACGTCAGAAATGCTTTTATAATGAAAGGAAATACAACTGACATATTACAAATTTTATAGATGACGTTCCTGACAACTTTCCCCTCTTCTACTCAACTAAGTTTTATTTATAATTGTTTGTTACTCATCTCCTGTTGAGCAGGTGTGCGATGATTAATAACTTATCTTGTTTAATTGAAATCGGTTCCCAAGATTTTGAATTAACCTGGAACGAATTAATACATACAAATTTCTTTAATTTTTGATATATGGGAGTATTTGAAAATTAAGTGAAAAATGCATTTTCGATGGAAAGTTTTTCTCGTTCAATAGTAAAAATATATATCGTGTGTACCGTACATAGCTGATTAAGCTTAAAATAAAGCGAATTATCGTCAATTCCCTTATTTATATTCGAGAGAAAAGGCAAAATATGTCCAAGAAAGTATTCGACCGACGAATCTTATACTCATTTGTATTCTGTTTGCAATCGGGCACTTGTTATACTAGGTATACATATTACAGAATAGATGGACTCGATTTCACTATCGAATACTGAATACATTAGCATCTGATATTAAGTTGAATAAATGCAAAATACTTTATTCGACTTCGGTAATCTTAAACTTTAATCTACTAACGAATGATTACTACACGGGTTATGAATAAATTTTTACCGAAACAATTAAATATGTCTTATAATCAAGTGTGTATAGTATCAATGTGATCTTTGTTTAAAAAATTTTATATAAACATATAACTTTCTAGTAATATAGGTAAATATTTTATAAATATATAAACCTCAGATTTAGAAATTTTATTATTTAGGAACAACAAACAAATTTGTCGATACAATTATTTATTCATTAGTTTGTACAAAATATATAAATCTATAAATTTGTTATTAATTGCGGTAACAGAAACTGTATTCGAGAAAGAAGTTTTTTCTCTTCTCATTGGACATAGAATATGAAATACTATTATATTCGGCATTTAGCGAGTTTTAAATATAAATTACAGAAGCAGGTATTTAAGATTCCATAGCATGATTAAATACAAAATTCTAAAATATTCGTTAATCGATCTACATATGTATATTGAATACAAGTATCTAACATTTTACACGTATTTCAATTACAAAAAATTGTTATAAAATATACTTTAAAGGCTTGCAAGCATTTCAATAGAAGAGCAACTGCGTCATTTTTAAAAATTGTTAAAATGTTAATAAAAAATTAATTTCTTATGAGAGAACAAAACGTAATCTTTCAATCTCATCTTAGGTAGTAAAACCCAGGATAGAAACATAATATTGTTACACGCAATGATTTAATTGAAAAAGAAATTAACATTGAATGAAACTAAATTAAATTTGAAAATTGATCAGAAATTGCTGTTAGATAGGAAAAAGAAAATAGAAAATATTTCAGATTAATAAAGTTAAGGATAAAAAAGGTAGAATCATCAGAACTTAGAAAACAGATTAAATTAAACAAGAAGCAAATGATTTAATAGAGAAGAAGCAATATTTTGCGATTAAAAGTTTCGTAGAAATTAGTAGTTTATTTTAAATACCCATAGACTCGAATCCAGCAAGTTTTGAACGTGTCTAATGCAATTTTACGTACATGATCACATTACTATAACCAGATTTTTCTATTCTTAACACGCTGATAGAAAATTTTACTATATTTCTTACCTAAGATAATGTAGATCCGTTTACCAAAAGGGGAACACTTTAAACCAATTTCTAATTTCTCGACAACAAAAGACAGAGATAAAGATGACATTATACATATTTTTCAAAAATATAAAATATGTATAATAGCTGTAATAAATATAATTATAAACAGGTTGTTCGATATACTATGTATATAAAACTTATCCATAACAAATTTTTTATTACTTAAGTTATTACTTGATTTGTTACTATTTTATAAATTTTTATTAGAAAGAAATGATTACACTTTCTTCTATGGTAAATGAGTAAAAATTGAAACGTTTACTTTGTACTGAACAAAATGAAAAATTTATTTCTACCAGTCAAATTCTAATTTTTATATAACGAATAATATATTAAAAATTATGTATCTCTAGTTCGTTATTCAAAATCACTTTTGCTAGCATGTTGCAAATTTATCTGTGCGAAGAATGAGTCGTATCGAGTCTATCTCGGCTTGTAATGCAAATTTGATAGAAGTGACGAGAACTTTCGAAAAATTGTATGTGTGTCGTTAACCTTTGGTTCTCGACTATATTTGAGCCCGTGTAATAATATTATTCTAGTTCCTCGAATTTATTCGTTTAGATCAGAAAATTTTCCTTATTAGATTCCTTAATTTATAATTTACGTTTGAAGCTGCTCTGCACAAATTTTACGTGTACGATGTGAAATATATAATAAATAATCATTGCATGGGTTCAGAAATTACATATATACAAAACACACGCGAGCAAATGTCTATACATATATTATATTCTAAATCATACAATTAGTTGAACCATCACATACAGGAATTATTTCTACCTGCCAAAGTAAAACGAAAATAAAAAATTATGAAATTGTATTTGAAGTAAGCTTTGACTTATTTTCTTCCCTTCGTAGAGAAAATAGAGGAATAGTTTGCGTAATTGATTCACGTAAAATTTAAACCTCCTTGAGAATTGTTTTAATATTCACAAATGATGAATATATATCAGAAACAAACAAATATATAAGCGGTAACCAATTTTATCCAAGGACCGATTTAATTAAAAATCTAATCATATATTTGTGGTGAGAATATGAAATTTAGAACATAAAATTTCATTAAAATAAAAAAATAATTTTTTTTTTCAACTCATTTGGATCACAAAAAAATGAAAACTATGTCCTTATCACTAAAACTCTTTTTATTCAATTTAAGTACAAATACTTTAAAAAGTATTACAAATTTAATATTTCAGTGATTTATTCTTGACTATCGCTATTTAGAAGAATTATTATATAATTATATATCAAAGCTTTTAAAATTTCTGTTAAACGTTTAATCACTTTTCAAAATAATACACAATCTATCATTTTGAATGGCTGCCACAATTCACATCGTTGTGCCCATCTAAAATAGAAAAATCAAACATAGTCTTAATAAATAGTATAGTTATCGTTTAAATTACAGTTAAGCAAAAAGAATGTACTTCGGCAATATAATACTCATATAAAGTTAACAATTTTTTTTATCGTGGAATTCTTTATTTTTAAGAGTAAAAAAATAAAAAAAGAATTATCGAAGACACTGACGCAATTTTAGTTCGGATGAAAAATCATAATTATCTACTTTATATGCGTGTAGAAGCAAATTGGTCAAACCATTATTGAGATATCATGGCAGATATTCAGAACGATAGCCTGAGGGAAACATGCAATATCTTGAGTAATAACAAAGATAATTGCACGAAAATTACACTGTATTATCTTGAAAAATTACTTGACATTAAAAAAAAATGTTTAACCCTCAGTTTAAAATGATAAAATTATAAAATAATTCTTTACTTTAAAGATCGCCTAAAATCAATGCTTCTAAACGATTATACCTCTTAATACTTAAAACATAATCAGAGTGTCTTGAAAAAGTGTTTCGTGTCTCATTTTGTTTTATTTTAAATTTTTCATATGATTAAAATTAGTTTTGATTTGAATATACATGTTATGTAACAGTACTTATAAAAATATAATTGTATTATTTATTGTATAGAAATGGAGATTAGCTGTGTCCATTTAATTATTTCTGACGAAGAAAATATTGAAAAGTTAAAAAATTTATATCTATGTTACTACTAGATAGTGATGGATGACTACAATCGCTTTCATAATCGTATTATTGTTCGATGACTAGTGAAAGTTCAAGCACATATCTTTGTTTGGATCAACATAAGGAGGGTATAATAGTAGCATTTTTCTTAATCTTTGTATATTATTTGCAACTTTGTATTATTGTCTATAGATTGCCGTTGCTA